TAACCAGCACGGAGAAAGGGACAAACAATCACACCGCTCTATCTCATTTCTATGCAAGACGTATGCATAAATCTATCTTTTTCGTGTGCGAATGCGAAAGAAGGCGTCAATTTGTCTATAGGTTTCTCTGTCTACGTATTGTACCGTAGACAGAGAAACCTATAGACTAATGATCGGCGTGGCCTCGAGTGAGAAAGAACGATAACAAATTTTTAGGTTATAAAATAATCTTTGTTACTTTTAAATACATTTAGATAAAAATTTTAATTGTTCTAAGAACTGAACTGAACAAGATTCATAAATCTTAAGCTCACAAAACACTTTTTTCCCACTTAAACCAACTTGTAAACTCCTTAAATCGCTACGCTGTCAAAGTTGTTTAGCAAACTGTAGAGTTTGCTAAACAAAAAAAACAGCACGGAGAAAGGGACAAACAATCACACCGCTCTATCTCATTTCTATGCAAGACTTGTGCATAAATCTATCTTTTTCGTGTGCGAATGCGAAAGAAGGCGTCAATTTGTCTATAGATTTCTCTGTCTACGTATTGTACTCTTATTAGTTACATACATACATAGTGTATACAGTGCGTTTGCACTTCCAGGTATGATTGCCGACATAAGTCGTGAGCACACTTTTTATTGGTCGATACGACGTCGACCACGCTGACGTTCCACGTGATTGGTTCATCAGTCAATTCTCGTCGTTTATTGGTTTCGAACGTATCATTCGGCTTCCGTACACTTCAGAGCAATAATTTCAGTGATAACTTTTTAATTAGTTTATTTTCGTTAATTGTTTTTGTTACCTCGTTGTTAATTGTTGTTTGTGTTCCTTGTTATTAATTGTTTTTGTTATTTCTTGTTTTTAATTATTTTTGATGTTATTAATTTGATTGTTCAGATTTTGATCTAAATACGCAGAGAAGGAAGAATTCGGTGTTAAATAGACAATCCCGACAAATGGTCTATTCCGTGTTTAGTTAAATGAAAAAATTAGGTACTACGAAAAACATCATAGACGTATATAAACAGACTGCTGAGGCGACTAATATCGCAATAGCTACTGTATGGCGCACCGCAACACCAGATTTTATGGAAGGCATATCACCTCTTCCTTCTTCTTAATAAAATAATCAATTCTAACCACCAGGTATACATTAAATACTTTATAGTAGATAATAAAATAACCAACACGAATATCTGCAACATTACTGTATCAAAGTAAAAGTTGATGTGTTCGAGTAAACATTTTCATAAAAGTCGGCGAAAATATTCAATTACGAATTGACATAATAAAGGTACCCAATAATATTGCTCGACAGTGTACCTACATCCCACCACAGTTTATCTGTGCTCACGACTCGTATCGGCAACTATATAATGTACTCTGTGGTTTGCACTGACGCGATTTTCACGAAAACACATGTTTTAACTGTCTACGTTTTAAATACTGTTTTCTGTCAATGTAATGCGTTTGCATAGTCAAGGAACATATTGTAGTGAAATATGTTTGACAGTTTATTGTACATTATTATTTTAACTGCCGTGTAGTGGCGGTTGAGAATATCCACTACCCCATATCTTCCCGTGGGTGTCGTAAGAGGCGACAGAGGGAGACAGGCAGGAGATGGGCAGCAGCATCTTCATGATAACAACTGTGTTATAATAAAAAACTGCGGTTGCCAACCCGCTCGCCAAGCGTGGCATCTATGGCAAATATCCCCCCATGAATAACGACGCAAAAAAACGGCCCCCAGTCCCCGGCGGCCCCGCTATCCCTGGCTACGGTGGTGACCATGGTAACGGCGGGGCAGGGGGTGCTAAGAATCACCGGTGGAGGTTCAGTTGCCACCTACGACGACTCGACCTGGCAACATATAATGCACGCACTCTGAGGACTGACGAGAAGATACTGGAGCTGGAAGAAGAGGTAGACAAGTTGCACTGGCATATTATTGGATTATCCGAGGTCCGAAGAGAGGGGGAGGATACGGCAATCCTCGAGTCCGGCAACTTGTTCTACCACCGGGAGGGCGACCATCTGTCCCAAGGAGGTGTCGGATTTATCGTCCACAAGTCTCTCATCAACAACGTTGTAAAGATTGGGAGTGTGTCGACGAGGGTCGCGTACCTGATACTCAGAATCACCAAACGGTATTCGCTGAAGGTCATACAGGTTTACGCACCAACCTCGGCACATCACGATGAGGAGGTGGAGGAAATGTATGAGGATATTTCCAGAGCCATGCATTCCTCCAAAACCCACTACATGGTGTTGATGGGAGACTTGAACGCAAAACAAGGCACAAGAGAAAGCGGTGAGATGAAGGTGTGGAAATTTGGAGTAGGGCAACGGAACCGAAGGGGCCAGCAGCTGGCCGACTTTATGGAGAAAGAGGGACCCTTTATGATGAACTCTTTCTTCCAGAAGCGGACCGAATGGTTAGAAGCACACTGAATCTAAATGTTAAGTTGGAGAGGTCTCGTCTAATGAAGTCAACGCTCCGTCCCCCTCGTGCTCTAATCCAGAATCCCGAAAACTTTCACTCGAGCAACTCGAGAAACTCGAGCAGTTACAAAACCGCTTTCAGTGCCTAGAGGATTGCAATGCAGTGGACGATATGAATCACAAGCTCGTGGAAACTGTCCATGCGGTCGAAGCTAAGTTCTGCAAGACCCGCCGCAGAAGAACACAAAAACTCTCCGATCACACTCTTAATCTCATGGCTGTTAGACGGGAGATGAGGCTGCAATCGTCAACAGATTTGACAGCATACAGGCAACTGAACCGACAGATCTCCAAATGTATGCGGCGAGACTTACGCAACTTTAATACAGCTCGTATTAAAGAAGTGATAGAGCGGAATCAGGGCTCCAAAGTCTTTGCCAGAGATCTGTCTGCCAGAAAGAGCCAACTGTCAAGGCTGAAGACTGAGTATGGCAACATCGTTTCCGGGACACCTGAGATTCTGAGTGAGATTGAGAGGTTCTATGGGCAGCTGTACACATCATCGTTGGAGCCACACGCAAGTGTGAGTAACGATCCAAGAGCAAGTCTTATCCGACACTATTCCAATGTTATCCCGGACTTCAGTCTGAGCGAGATTAGAATGGCTCTCCACCACCTTAAAAACGGCAAGGCCCCGGGCGAGGATGGAATTACAGCGGAGCTTCTGAAAGCGGGTGGAACACCGGTACTTGAAGTCCTTCAGAAGCTCTTCAATTCCGTCCTCCATGGTGGCACTACTCCGGAGGCGTGGAGCAGAAGCGCGGTGGCCTTGTTCTTTAAGAAAGGCGACAACGCTCTCTTGAAGAACTACAGACCGATTTCCCTTCTGAGCCGCGTCTACGTGCTGTTTTCGAGAGTCATTACGAATCGTCTCGCACGCAGACTCGACGACTTACAGCCTCCCGAACAAGCCGGTTTCCGAAAAGGCTTCAGTACCATAGACCACATACATACCCTTCGGCAAATTGTACAGAAGTCCGAAGAGTACAATCTGCCACTTTGCCTGGCGTATGTAGACTATGAGAAAGCATTTGATTCCGTCGAAATTTGGGCGGTGCTACAGTCGATTCAGCGGTGCCAAGTTGACTGTCGGTATATCGAAGTGCTGAAGTGTTTGTACAGTAGGGCTACGATGGATATCCAGAGAGTACGAAACCTATCCAACTACAGAGAGGTGTAAGACAGGGTGACGTTATTTCCCCGAAACTCTTCACCGCTGCATTGGAAGACGTTTTCAAGCTACTGGACTGGAAAGGATACGGTATTAACATCAATGGCGGGTACATCACTCACCTTCGATTGGCCGACGATATAGTCCTTATGGCAGAATCGCTGGACGACTTAAACACTATGCTCAATGACCTCAATAGTGCCTCCCAACTGATAGGTCTTAAGATGAACATGGACAAAACAAAGATCATGTTTAATGTCCATGTCACTCCTATGCCGGTAGTTGTTGGGAGCACTATGCTCGAAGTTGTTGACGAGTACGTTTACCTGGGACAAATAGTCCGACTAGGTAAGTCCAACTTCGACCGAGAGGTCAATCGACGGATTCAACTCGGCTGGGCAGCGTTCGGGAAATTACGACACATCTTCTCGTCAGGTATACCTCAATCTCTGAAAACTAAAGTGTATAACCAGTGCGTGTTGCCAGTGATGACTTACGGATCTGAGACGTGGTCCTTCACCGCTGGCCGTATGAGGACGCTCAAGGTCGCTCAGCGAGCTATGGGGAGGGCTATGCTCGGAGTTTCACTGCGTGATAGACTCAGAAAAGAGGATATCCGCAGTAAAACCAGAGTGACCGACATAGCCCAACGGATTAGTAATCTGAAGTGGCAATGGGCCGGCCATATAGCTCGAAGAACCGATAACCGATGGGGAAGAAAGGTTCTCGAGTGGCAGACTCGTACCGGTAGGCGTAGTGTAAGGCGACCCCCCACTAGATGGAGTGACGACCTGGTAAGACATGCAGGAAGTCGATGGATGCAGGTGGCTCAGGACCGTGCTTTGTGGCATTACTTGGGGGAGGCCTATGTTCAGCAGTGGACTTGTGAAGGGCTGTAATGATGATGATGATGATGATTATTTTAACTATAATATTATATCCGTATCGCTCTTGTATATAGTCAGTAATCTATGATTATATCTATATAACTGCAGAAACAAAATGCTTGAAAACAAATTTGTAGAAATATTGTCATGTTGAAAGATAAGTTTGACGTTAATTTTGTATTTGTAGACACTTTTTAATCGAGACAGAAAATTTTCAATATTAATGAAAGAAAAGATTGTCAATTGAACGTCAGTAACGGTTTTACGCGTTTTTGTTCAAAATTTAGTTCCTTGTAATATTCTGATTACATTCTTTATATATTTTAGTATATATTAATAATATTTATCTGCATTTTCATATTGTATCTCATTTAGCGACAATTTCATACTATCACAAAACGGTTTAACGTAGCTTTAGTCTCTCGATCGCCATGTCTAATCCAATTCCGCCTAAGCCACCGGATCCGAATTATTCTGACACTAACATTATTTCCTCACCCGCTGCGTATGTTGAAATTGAAAATGATTTAGAAGGTTCATTTAAAAGACCACGGCAGTCATTATCGCAAGAAATTTTTGATGACAACTTCAAAATTATTTCAAACAAAAAGAAAAGAAAACATAAAACAAAGGAAAGGAAGAAAGAAGAGCATGCTAATCGGGTTGACATAAATAGAAGAATTTCAGCTTTTTCCACCAATTCCTCATTCTCAGAATCGGACTGCGATACTGGTAATACTTCATCATCTAAAATTAAAATTGTAGGCTCTAACTCTATCAAAAGCAATATGTCAGGACAACGTGCTTATGATTCTCCCAAGTCTTTATCATCTAATATTGCTTGTGCACAATCATCTGAAATCCCTCTTTCACAATCATCTGGCATTGCTCTATCACAAACATTAAATTCTGCCAATTGTTATATCTCCTCTAAATCTCTTAACACGCATATTGATAGCGATAATAAAAAAATAGAGTCACAATCTCTTCGTTCTTATAATTCTACAGATTCAGGTCCTTTTATCGTTCATGTTCAAGTAAAAGAAGATTCTCCTAATTCTGGTAAAACTTTAAATGCCATTTCATTTGTCACTTTTTGAAAAAATTAAATGTACAAAATATAGTTAATGGAGGCCTAAAACGTATCGGGAGAAATAGAATAACGGTTGAATTCTCTAAATTTATTGATGCAAATCTATTTTTAGAAAATCCATCCGTAAATGATAAATATAAAACCTTTATTCCATCCTTTCACGTATCTCGTATGGGAGTTATAAAAGGTGTACCAAAAGATTGGACACCAGAAGAGATTATTTCCGAATTATCTACGTATCCAAACACCATTCCTGTATTAAAAGTAAGAAGATTAAATTACCGAGTTCGCAACGAGGACAAAGTCAGATATGAAAGCTCTGAAAGTGTCGTAATCACATTTGACGGTCAAATTCTTCCCTCGAGGGTTTATTTATGCTATTCTTCCATTGCTGTTTAAATTTATAAGCTTCTAACGATCCAATGCTTTCAGTGCTGCAGATTTGGACATACTAAAGATTTATGTCGTTCCAAGCCAAGATGCTCAAAATGTGGAGGTGATCACTCCTCTTCTTCTTGCGACAAAGATAATAGATCTTTTTGTTGCTTATTTTGTTCAGGTAACCACAAAGCCACAGATTAGAGATGTCCTGAACACACAAGACAAAATAATATTAAAATTGAAATGGCACAAAATTCTATCTCATACCTAGAAGCATCTCAAAAATATCCTCAAGTTTCTTCAAAATCATATGCTGATGTTTTGATTTCTAAAATCCCTGAAAATTCTTCGCTTTCTACTAATCCTACAATGGATAATTTTCCTCCCAACCCCGCTACATCTAATAAAACTTCTTATAAGAAATCATTATATATTCCTAAACCATTACGTCACCATTCACAAACAGGATACGACAAAAAAAGTCATCAAAAAATTATTGAAGATTTTTCAATTCTGCAACCTGAGGATGGTTGTGCTCTTCGGGTTTCACCAGTTACTTCACAGGGTAATTTTGATTCTGTAGAAAGCATTATAAGTTTCCTTATTAGCATAATCATATCTTCGTATTCGTCGAAGCTACCGTCCCACGTTGTTCGCTTACTAAATTCTATACCTAAAATTCTCCAAGACATTCACTCTCACAAAGATCCTTCAATGGAATTGTAGAAGCATTTTAGATAAACGTACTGAAATAATCTATTTATTAAAAAAATACAATGTGTGTATCGCTGCTATTTCAGAGACATGGCTAAAACCGGATTCGAACATCAGAGTACCTGGTTTTTGTCTTGTTCGAAGTGACAGATCTGATGGTTATGCCGGATGTGCCGGATGTGATGATGTGTATTCATTTTAGATGTTTATGATGAAATATTTGACTTTAGTATTGTAGCAGTAAGAATTCAAAATATTACTTTCGTTTCTATTTATGTTCCCTCCCCTTCTGTCCATACGTTTCGCAGAATAAAATCTTTAATAGCCTCCCTACCCAAACCATTTATAATTCTTGGTGAATTTAATTGTCATCATTATTTATGGGGTGATAACACTGATAAATATGGTAGTTTATTAGTTGAAATAATTGACGAACTTAACATTGGTGTCCTTAATACTGGTAAAATTACCAAACGCTCTCGTCCTAATGAGTCTAGAAGTGCTGTAGATTTATCAATTTGTACTCCTGATTTAACCACTCTTCTAAATTGGTCAGTTCTAGATAGCTCTCACGGCAGTGACCATTTTCCCATTCTGATTTCCTTTCCGAACAAAGAATTGGCAGAAATTAACAAAAAACCATGTATTAAATACAAAATAGACAGAGCAGACTGGAACCTGTACAATATTTATCTTTACAATGAAATTCTAAAAATCGCTCCTATTTCTGAATATAATATAACTTCTATTGTTGAAGCATTTACAAACGCAGTTATAAATGCAGCAGATCAAACAATTCCTGTTAAAACTCTAAGTAATAAATGTAGGCCCTCCCTCCATGGTGGGATTCTGAATGCACTGAGGCCATTCGTAATAGGAAAAAAGCCGAAAAACAATATAAATTAGACATGAGTTCGGAAAACTATTCATACCTTCAACGTGTACAAGAAGTGACTAAAAATACTATTCGCACAAAAAAACAAACACGTTGGCATGCCTTTTGTTCCTCAATTTCTCTTTCAATATCTTCATCAGTTGTTTGGCGTAATATTAGAAAATTTCGCTGTTGTTTTTCATCTTGTTCTTACAGTGGTGCCATTCCCTTCCAATCTATAAACACTTTTCTAGATAAAATTGCCCCCTCTTCTGCTCCTTTGAGAAAGGAGCTACCTCAAAGTATTCCATGTGATTCTTTTTTTGATCCCTTAGAACGTCCATTTTCTTTATATGAATTAAAGCTCGTCCTTTCTCACGTTCACGATTCAGCTCCTGGTTTAGACTGTATTCCATATTCACTACTTGCCAAATGTAATGATCAAATTTTATCCTACTATTTAAATATCATTAACGTTTTGTTTGACATAGGCTTTGTTCCTGACTTTTGGCGGACTCAAGTAATTATTCCTATCTTGAAACCTGACAAAAATCCTAACGACGGTTCTTCCTATAGACCGATCGCTCTATCCTCAACTCTAATTAAAACCTTTGAACATATGATCAAGAACCGTCTTGAATGGTATGTAGAAAGTCATGAATTGTTATCAAATACCCAATATGGATTCAGAGAAGGTAAAAGCACAGATGACAGTCTTTCTATCTTCACCACAGATATTAGACTAGCATTTTCGAGAAATGAATCGGTCCTTGCTGCTTTCCTTGACATTTCTTCTGCTTACGATAATGTCAGACTCAACATCCTTAGAGAAAAGATGTTTAAGCTTAATATTGTTGCATGAATAAGTCAACTAGCGCCATCTAGTGTCAGGAACGAGAGCGAGGGGAGCATTGAGAAAATGACATCACAAATCGCTCAACTGACAGCGCCTAGTCGAAACTCGAACGCTCGGTACCTTCCGCGTGTTTACTTGAACATTCTGGATATTTCTTTGCTAATTTAAATATATAGGCGCTGCAAGATGCGATCGAGGTAGTGTTGATTTGGGCGAAACAAGCGAAGCTTCGGAGTGGAATTAAGTGAATTAGTGTGTTTAAATTATTAGTGTTTTAACTTTAATTGTGTAAAGTAAATTAAAGTGTTAATTTAGGTAATTTTATCGGCAATTTTTATTGTCACGAACCTCAAGCTCGTAACAATTGGTGTCAGAAGTGGGATCAAATCATGCCGATTTTACCTAAGGAAGAAACGGAGGGTGTCCGTACCCGCAGTCAACGCCAGCATGAGACGGACCAGCGGAGATTTGGTGGTGCAACGGCGCAGATGTCGGAGGGCCAACTGCCAGCCACGGAGGCTGCGGGCCCGTCATTAGCTCCTACATCTGCAGCACCTGACTTAGGTGCTCTGATGGCGATGCTACAGGAGCAGCTGCAGCGCGGACGAGAGGAACAGGCCCGTCTGTTGAAAGAGCAGCAGGAAGAACAGGCTCGCCGACAGGAGGAACAGGCTCGCCGACAGGAGGAACAGGTCCGTCGGTTGGAAGAGCAGCTGCGGGGTGGACAGGATGAACAGGCCCGCCGACAAGAGGAACAGGCCCGTCGGTTGGAAGAGCAGATGCTTCTCATGAAGGACCTTCACGCTACCTTCGGGAAAGAGATAAGGGAGGTGAAGGATAGGGTTGCTCAGCATGACAACCGCCTGTCGGAAGCTGAAACCCAAATCGCGAAAGCTGAAACCCGAATCGACCAAGTGAACAATCGGGTTGACAACGTAATGGCTGACATGAAGAAATCACTGGACGAACTCAAACTTGGAGATGGAGCTACAGCTCCCGTAGTAGCTACAACACCTTCGCTACGTGGGTTCAAGGTGCCACCGTTCGACGGTACCTCTTCCTGGTCAGCCTACAAAATCCAGTTCGAGGCTGTTATGAAGGCGAACGGCTGGAATAAAAGTCAGGCCATGACTGCTCTCACACTAGGCCTGCGCGACCAGGCCTTAACAGTTCTGGAAGCTCTCGGTGAGGAAGTGACTTATGAGCAACTCCTTGAGGCATTGGAGGCGAGATATGGCGACGCTCACCTGGAACACGTCTTTCGTGCGCAGCTTAAAGATCGTGTGCAGCGCATCAACGAAAACCTGCAGCAGTGGGCTCTAGAGGTGGAGAAGCTGGTGCGAAAAGCTTACCGGTCTGTACCTGCGCTCATTGAAGGGAACCTGGTTCAGACATTCATCGACGGCATCCGCGACCTTGAAGTCAGAGCTGCTGTGAGACTCGGGCACCACGACACGCTTAAGAACGCCTTGGCCCATGCACTGGAGGTGGAAGCCGTGCGGCAGGATCATCGTTCCCATCGCGTCAGGGAGGTTGCAGCAGCTACAGTCCGTGACCGCAGCAAAGGATACAGCCCTAGGTGCTATGGCTGTGGGGAAAAGGGCCATCTTCGATTCAGCTGCCCTAAGCGAACCGTTGAAAGGAGAGTTGATCGATCTCGAGAGGGTAGTGCAGCTAACGACACTGCCTGGCGGCGACAGGATCATCGTTCACCTCACGCTAGGGAGGTTACAGCAGTTACGGTTCGCGACCACAATAAAAGATACAGCCCTAGGTGCTATGGCTGTGGGGAAAGGGGCCATCTTCGGTCCAGCTACCCTGAGCACACCCTACGAAGGGAAGGTGAACGGTCTCAGAAAGGAAGTGCGGCTAACAGCACCGCCCAGCAGCAGTAGGAATACGACTTTACTATCAGACACTGCAGCGGGAAATCTCACGGCAACGCAGATGCATTGTCAAGAAGACCTTGTCCTGAAGATTGCAACCATTGTAGTAGGCAAGAGAGTAAGGAGGTGGTATCCGTGAGGATGCTCAGGACAGACCACCTCAGCAACGGGTGGAAGGACAACCTACGACATGCACAGCAGGAAGATCCGGACATCAAGCCGATTCTGGGATGGATGAAGGCCCGTGCTACCAAGCCTAAGTGGAGGGACGTCTCAGCGATGAGTTCAGCCACGAA